AGAAATAAACCCATACCTTTATGGTCAATTGACTTTTGACAAATGTGCCAAGACAATTAATTAAATGGGAGAAGAATAATCTTTCCAACTGATGGCGCTGGACAACTGGATAGCCACATGTAAAAGAATAAAGTTAGAGCCCTACCTCACACCATACACAAAGATTAACTCAAAATGGATCAGATACCCAAATGTAAGAGCTTAATCTATAAAATTCTTAGAAGACAATATAGGAATAAATCCTCATACCTTTGGGTTAGGCAATGGCTTCTTAGACACAACACCAAAAGCACAAGCCAAAAAGAGAGAGAGAGAGAGATTGGATTTCATCAAAATTAAAAATTTTTGTGCTGCAAATAATACCATCAAGAAAGGGAAAAGATATCCCACAGAATGAGAGAGACTATCTACAAATCATTTATCTAATAAGTGATGTGTATATAGGATAGATAAAAAATTCTTACAACAGGGTGCCTGGGTGGCTCAGTTGGTTAAGCGACTGCCTTCGGCTCAGGTCATGATCCCGCAGTCCTGGGATCGAGTCCCACATCGGGCTCCCTTCTCGGTGGGGAGTCTGCTTCTCCCTCTAACCCTACCCCCTCTTGCGCTCTCTCTCTCACTCTCTCTCTCAAATAAATAAAATCTTTAAAAAAAAAAATTCTTACAACACCCTAATAAAAAGAGTAAGAACTCAATTAAAAATTGAAAAAGGAGGGGCAACTGGGTGGCTCAGTTGGTTGAGTGTCTGCCTACGGCTTGGGTCATTATCCCAGGGTCCTGGGATCGAGCCCCACATCAGGCTCCCTGCTGGAGGGGGGGGTCTACTTCTCCCTCTCCTTCTGCCCCTCCCCCTGCTTGTTCTCTTTCTCAAATAAATGAATAAAATCTTTTTTAAAAAATTGAAAAATGATCTGATATAGACATTTCTCCAAAGAAGATAAGCAAATGTTCAATAAGCACATACAAAGGTCCTCAATATCACTGGTCATTAGAAAAATGCAAATCAAAACCACAATGAGCTTCTATCTCACATTCACTAAGGTGGCTACAATAAAAAAGATCATAATAAGGGTTGGCAAGGATGTGGGAAAACTGGAATCCTCATACACTGCTGGTGGGAATGTAAAATCATGCAGACCCTTGGGGAAAAAAGCTAACAAGCTATTCAAAATGTTAAAAATAGAGTTACCATATAATCCAACAATTCCACTTTCAGGTATATACCCAAGAGAAATGAAAATATATGTATGCAGAAAATCTGTCCACTGATGTTCAAAACATTATCATTCATAATAGCCAAAAAGTGGAAAAAACCTGAATTTCCATCGATGGTCTGATGAATGGTCAAAGAAAATGTGAACTATTCAAGCCAAAGCAATCTTGAAAAATAAAAATAAAACTGGAGTTATCACAATTCCAGACTTGTTATATTACAAAGCTGTAGTAATCAAAACAATATGTTACTGGCACAAAAATAGACACATAGATCAATAGAATGGAACAGAAAACCCAGAAATAAACTCACAATTATATGGTCAATTAATCTTCGACAAAGCAGGAAAGTATATGCAATGAGGAAAAGACAGTCTCTTCAACAAATGTTGTTGGGAAAACTGGACAGCTACATGCAAGGAATGAAACCACTTTCTTACACCATACACAAAAATAAACTCAAAATGGAATAAAGACCTAAATGTGAGACTTGAAACCATAAACATCCTAGAAGAGAGCACAGGCAGTAACCTCTCTGGCACTGGCCATAGCAACTTTTTCTAGATAGGTCCTCTGAGGCAAGGGGCACAAAAGCAAAAATAAACAATTGGGACTACATCAAAATAAAAAGCTTCTGCACAGCAAAGGGAACAGTCAACAAAACTAAAAGGCAACCTGCGGAATGGGAGAAGATATTTGCAAATGACATATCCGACAATGGGTTAGTATCCAAAATATATAAAGAATGTATCCAACTCAACATCCAAAAAACAAATAATTCAATTTAAAAATGGGCAGAAGACAAGAACAGACATTTCTCCGAAGAAGATATACAGATGGCCAACAGATACATGAAAGGATGCTCATCATCACTTACCATCAGGGAAATGCAAATCAAAACCACAATGAAATATCACCTCACACTTGTCAGAATGGCTAAAATCAACAACACAGGAAGCAACAGGTGTTGGCGAGGATGTGGAGAAACGGGAACCCTCTTGCACTTTTGGTGGGAATGCAAACTGGTGCAGCCACTGTGGAAAACAGTATGGAGGGTCCTCAAAAAGTTAAAAATAGAAATACCTTTAATCCAGCAATCACACTTACCAGGTATTTACCCAAAGAATACAAGAATCCTAATTCAAAGGGATACATGCACCCCTACGTTTATAGCAGCATTATTTACAATAGCCAAGATAATGGAAGCAACACAAGTGTCCATCAAATGATGAACAGATAAAGAATAGTGGTATATATACACAATGGAACATTGCTCAGCCATCAAAAAGAATGAAATCTTGCCATTTGCAATGACATGGATGGAGCTAGAGAGTACTATGCTAGGTGAAGTAAGTCAGTCAGAGAAAGACAAATACCATATGATTTCACTCATATGTGAAATTTAAGGAACAAAACAAATGAGCAAAAGGAGAGAGAGAGAGAGGCAAACCAAGAAAGAGACCCTTAACTATAGAGAACAAAGTGATGGTTACCAGAGGGAAGGTAGGTGGGGGGATGGATGAAAGAGGTGATGGGGAGTAAGGTGTGCACTTGTGATGAGCACAGAATGATGTATGGAATTGTTAAATCACTATATTGTACACCTGAAGCTAATGTAATACGATGTGTTCACTATACTGGAATTAAAAACTTAAAAAAACTTTTTAATTAAAAAAAAAAGGAAAATGTGGTCTATTCATATAATGGAATATTATTCAGCCATAAAAAGGAATGACACATTCATACATGTTACAACGTGAATGAACCTCAAAAACACTGTGCTAAGTGAAAGAAGCAGTCACAGAAGACCACATATTGTGTGATCCCATTTACACGAAATGTCCAGAATAGGTAAATTTATAGGAACAGAAAGCAGATTACTGGTTGCCTAGAGTTGTGATGGGGGAAGTGACTGGTGACTGCTAATGGGTTCAAGTTGTGTTTTTAGGATGGCAAAAATGTTTACAAACTGATTATGGCAATGGTTGCACAACTCTGTAAATATACTATCGGTGAATTGTATATTTTAAATTGGTCACCTTTATGGTATGTGAATTATGTCTCAACAAAGCTGTTAAAATAAATTGAGATTAACTTACTAATATAATAAAATGCAATATAATATAAACTTGCTGTGGAGACATTTTTCTAACAAAGATGAAAATCCAAAAGATATAATGAAATTATATATATAAATGTGATTTCATAGAACTAAAGCAAAATGAAGACACCAACATTTTGATTCCAACAAAATATACGCAATGTAACTGTAAAAATCCTCTGTCCCTCATTTGCAAAGAACTCCTAAAGATTGATCAGAAAATGACAAACAACCCAATATAAAATGGGGGAATAATATAAATAGGAAATGCCAAGAAGAAAAAAATGCAGTGTCCAAAAACATAAGATGGGCAAACTCAGCTATCTAAAAAGTGCTAATTAAAACAACGAGATTTACCGTTTTCATCCATCAGCTTGGCAAAAATTAAGAAGTGTGATAATATCTAAGACTAATGAGGATGTGGAAAAATCGGTATGTTGTTTTTCAGATTGTTAATTGTTAAAACTCTTTTGGAGTATCTAGCAAAATTTTAAACCATAAATCCATAAATTCCACATTTTGAAATTTTATGTAAAAAAAAGCACTAAATCTTAAATACATACACACAGGCTATGTGTATGCCCGTGTGTATGTACGTCTGTGTGTATGCATGCGTGTGTATGTATGTATGTATACACACACACAGAGAGAAGTGTTTGTTATATATGGCTTTGCTTTTAAGTGCAAAACCCTTGAACCAATCTGGATGGCCATCAGTTGAATAGGATTTAGCCACTCCATAATTGTTATGGCACATCTACTAGAAAGATTGAGTTAGGTCTATGTGTATTAACTTGGAGTAATGTTCATGATATCATCTTTAGAGAAAAAGTCAGCTGTAGAATAGAGTGTGCTGTGTTATTCTATCTTTGTAAAAAAAAAAAAAAAGTATGTATGTTGCTGACTGCCTTTCTCCTCCCCCAGGATCTGCAACTGATGAAGGAAAGGACTTTTGTCTGTTTTGTTCATTGCCATATCGCTTGTGCCTAGAACAGTGCGTGATACATAGTAGGTGCTCAAAAAATTTTTAAATTCGATGAATATAATGGATTGTCTATTTTTGTAGGAGCAAGAAGAGGGAAGAAATGTGCACTCTGGGCTACCAATTTCAGTTGCCTCTGGGGAAAAGGATTATTAAGAAGGAGAGGGAGAGAAGATCATTAGCATTTTCTGTATACATCTTTGTTTGGTCTCACTTGTTAGCAACAAACATACTCATTTTATAATGAAAACTTCTTTAAAAGATCACGTTGAATAGAGAAAAGGAAGATAAGCTATGGATGCCATCACATGGAGGGACACTCAACTCTTGTCATTATACACTTCTGGGTAGAGAAGAGACCAAGAGGCAAGAGCACACAGGGCTGTTTGGGGGACAGGGAGCGCTGTTGGGTGTGGGACTGGGTGGATGTGGGGACCGTCTTTTCTTTACATTCAGTTAGAGGCTGCTCGTGGATACTGATTGCTTTACCCGTTTAAAGAGACATATGAATTGAAAATTGCTCCTCTTGGTTTCAAATATGAATGCATTCACCACTTGGTGTCTGGAACTAATTCCATTGTGTTTATACCAATGAGTAACCAGTAAGTAGTTGTCTTCACTCTCGTGGCCGCTCTTAGTCACTCTGGACTGTTTCTACTTGGTCACCAGTACCGGCGCTCAGAATTCTCCTTAGAGCATGCACACCTTTGGTAAAGAGGCCTCGAGCACGTTGTCCTAGTTACTTGGTACTGGAAAAATCGAGGGGTCATATCACAACACAGTTTGATGTAAGCTCCTCGATTGCTGCCTTCTTCATAATAATTAGAAGCAGAAAATACAGTAACAACCTGATTAAAGAAAAAGAGGGCCAGGTTCACATAGAGTTAGTTCTCAAAAGGTCTTTCAATAAAAGCAGAAATAGCTCAATTCCTAAAAAAGCAAAAATCAAACAAAGTTCCAAATCCATCCAAATTATCCAAGTCTGACAGGATTTTCTGTGATTCCACTGGAGAGCAACAAGGCTTTGAAATCAGTGTCCCCAGGAATACTAACTTCCAGCCACTCATCCCCATAGTGCATAGCCTTGCAATCCTGTGTACAATTTCAGTTCCGTGTCTTAGAATTCTACTTAACGCTTGGTTTTGCAAATTCTAATTTTCCAAGCGGGTAAAGCCTTTGTTTTCTTTCCTTGTGATATTTGAGTGTTCAAAATAAAACTCCTCTACTCTCAGTCTTTTTCTTTTGCTTAAAGCTGCCTGATGTAGAGGGCTTGGGGCCCTCTACAAAACCAGTCCTTTAAGGGCAGAGAAAATAGTGGCCAGAATACAGAGTGGCCAGGACCACTCTGCTGGGAAGGAACCAGCCTTGGGGCCATGGTGGGGGATGGCAGGGTAACCCTTGTCCTTGACAGGCAACCTGGCTCGGGCTCAGTTCTGCCCTCATCAGCCTGCTACTTCAGACAAGCTATTTTCTCTCTGTTTTCTCAGTACAAAGAAACCTTAAATAATTCTTGCCTTCACTATCTCACAACATTAGCAGGAGCCGAAAGTGAACTAATGGAGTGAAGAAAAGCGAAAGTCTTGAAATAGAAAGAGATGCCACACGATTTGGTATCCTGTTTTATTTATTGTTATTCTCTGGTAGAAAAGGGACATCCCAAGACAGCTTGGAACAAGAAACCAGTTCCTGAGCCCTCTTCCGGCCTTACCAGACACCTGTGAAGGAGCGCATCACACTCCATTCCAGTGGCTGCAGCTAAACTGACCACAGCAGGTGGCTCGCTAGAGCTCACCGACTCCGTGAGTAGAAGGGACGTGGCTTCTGCGGCTCTGTCCTGCACAGGGCAAGTACAAAAGGTGAAAGAGAGCAACCTGGATCTGTTGCTGCCTTTGACGTGCTCTGTGAGGGTAAGTACATTCTTAACCGCGCTGGACCGGAGAGTTGCCTTTCGATTAGTAAAGAAGAAAGGCTGTCTGTGGGTGTACTTAGAGCTACACGTCAGAATTTCTATCTCTGGGATTCAGGAAGATCAGGGAAATAAGCCAAATATCTCTTAGGGTGAGGCACAGTGAGTCCCCTTCAAACAACCTGTGTGAACCCTGTAGTCTCCTGTTTCTGTCTACCAAAGCATGGCCTCCTGTTTTGGTCCTGGGGAAGACACCTTCCCATGGGCCTCTAGGTAAGATGCATCCCGTGATGAAAGAGTGTTTGGGGCAAGGGTGTGTGTGATGATGTCACCAACAATGTTAGCTTACCTTCCCATCGTGGCAGATTTCATACCCTTCGGGCTTACATTCATGAGACCTAATGAGCATCTTCAACTGGTATTTATTAAGAACCTTGGAGGTAATATCTGGTCCAAAATAGCAGCCCCCTCCTCGACTTGTGTTTGGGTAACAGCCTCTCTTGTCTCTGGGATCACTCCACAGAATATCGATAACCTTTAAACAACAAACCAGATTAGGCCACTAGTTATAAGTGAGAGTCTATCTTTCTAGATTCCAACTTATTTGCCAGAAATATCAACCCAAGTTATCCCAGAGTCTGTTTCTCATTCCTCCTTCAAACTTGTTTCAGACTCATCTCCTCCATGAATCTTTTCCACACTAATTGTAATGCCCATAGCCACTGTGGTCCCTTTCTGCTCATCCCCAATAACCAGTGCAGCCATACTTCATAATCATGAAGAATCAGCCCTTGCTTTTGTTTGTCTTTAAAAATCTCATCATGATTGTTTCACAATTGCTGAATCTACCAAGGTCTTTTCTCTCTCTCTTTTAAAAAATTTTTATTTATTTATTTGAGAGAGTGAGAGTGAGCAAGCACAAGCATGGGGGGGTGGGGGGGAGGCAGCAGCAGAAGGAGAGGGAGAAGCAGGCTCCCCGCAGAGCAAGGAGCCCGATGCAGGGCTCGAGCCCAGGACCCTGGGATCATGACCTGAGCCGAAGGCAGACCCTTAACCGACTGAGCCACCCAGGTGCCCCTCAAGGTCTTTTCTCTTAAAAGAACTTCATTGTCATGTTCCAAGAAGAAAGCAGCTCCCCACAATGAACACACATTAGAGGTTCTTAATATGTTCAAAGAGACAAGGTAGGTCTCCCAGCTGTGGCTTCGGCCCTGGTTTTTCTCCTGTAGAGCAGATAGCATGAGGAAGACTTTTTCCCACCACAAATACAGACAAGTGTTCATCCAAGAATACTTCCTAAGTCATCTCCTTCCCTTTCTGTCCCATTGATAAGAACATTCTCAGTTCCAATAACTGGTTCCCACAATGTGTCCTCCTAAATCCACAAGTATTTTATTAGCATAACATTTCCTTTTGGGGCTGAAAGAGGAAAATGCAGCCTACATGATGTCCAAGACTGAAGATCCAAGTTTCTAAGAATATTTTTCATTGTTCTTATCTACATATAATGTTTCTTTATCTAAACTCCTATAGGAGTTTAAGCAGTAGTGAGAAAAACTAGCTTTGTCACTAAAGCTGTACAGCCTCGAGAAAACTCTCTGGGTCTCTGTTTCCAGATCTTTAAAATCAGGGGTTTGGGCCGGGTTACTTGTAAAGTATCTCAAAGTTCCAACAGACTATGATTCTAAGAGTCTGTCTTTTCCACGTTTTTGTTCTGCAGGCTTGAAGGAGCACACATTTTAAGTTCTGCAGTTACTCAAGCGAGTCCAAGTCAGGTCTTAACAAGAGAACCAGAAGTGGTTGTCCCAGTAAACTGGACTGTACACCGATTTATAGGTTTGGTTTTGAAGGGGAGCTAGAAATAAGTGAGGAAGAAGACAGTGAGGTGAAGAGAAGAAGAGAACTGGTAGGAGAACTCTGGAATGAGAAGCACTTGGTCAGAGCCTGTAACAACCCTCCATCAGGCACAAACCAGACACTTAGGGAATTTTTGATGATTGACTGCAGTGAGAGTTAAAACCACCCAAAGTAGATTCAGACCAGGATTCTCCTTTTTCCCCTACCTCACTCCCCCATTGGCACAATCCTACTCTACAAATAAATACAATGGAGCCCATTTGCCTTGCTGGTGTTTATGACAAAACAAACACTTGCCTTATCATATCTGGCTCTTAGACCATGAACTCATGTTTGGGGGTCCTGATTTGACCTTTAGTGTAATGAAGGCAGAAACACAGAACACAAGGAATTGTGTTTTATAAGGAGGGGATTAAGTTTTAAATTCTCACATGAAATGCAAATCATTTATAGCCAAAATTACCCCCGGAACACCTCTTAAATGACCCTCAATGCACACTATACATGCTTTGTATATCCATTCCTATACAATAATACGGATGTGTGAATATTTTATATATGTGATAATGTATCATGGGATAAATAACCTTTGTGAAAATAAAATTTTACATACTTTTCTCCTTTTTGTCGCATACATGTAGTTGAAATTTACACAAATTCAGTGTATACAGTGGACTCTGTTGAACTAGAAAAAACACTGACCAAGGAGTTAGTTCCTCAAGCGTCACCTGTGTCACCTTGGGCAAATCATTTAACCTATTTGAGCTTTAGTTGGCTCATCAATGAAATGAGAAAGATAAATCTAACATTCATTTTTCTTTGACTCAAAGGGGGTATGAGTTTTATAGAAATGAATGTCTTCAGAATTATCCATTCCATAAGTTTGCATTTCTTTTTTCTGTCTAGAACTCATTCACTTGACTCGGTTTACCCAGACTGTGGCTATAATACAGATTTGATCCTGAGGCCCTTTGTTGGTAAAACAAATTCCTCAGCAGAGACAGTCTCTTTCCTTCCAACATCCTCTCCTCTGAAATGCAAGGGCCTTGTGAGTGGTAAGTGCATGAAAGAACAGTTATTTACAACATTCCTTCCTGAAAATTTTCAAACCAAAAATTGGAAAAGTTTTACTGAATGACAGTTTTTATAGGGCCTGGTCAACAAAAATCTATCTGTGTCTCAGCCTTTAAACCTCCTAAATCCAGAATAAATCCAGCAAGAAGTGCCCTGTGCTTGTCTGCAGCTCTAAATAATCCAGTTCCCAAAAGTATGCTTTGGGGGAGAGTTAATAGCTCTGAAAGGTGTACCTAAATGCTTCTCTTCTAAGACACTAATACTATAGATTTGCTATTCTTTTGTATTTTCCCTTGGTGATGTGTCCTCCTTCCAGCTTTTGAACATGTCGTTTTAAAAGCTGTGCTCAACCCAAACCTTCCAGCGATACCTAAACTGCTTCAGATGCCTACTCCTTGTTTACCCATTGTCTCACTGGATGAGGACACACCAGAGCAGTTCATTTTCTTCTTGAGACCTCCTATCACTTTGAAGTCATCTTTCCCTTCAGAAAAGGAGCACGGGCATTAAAGGCAGACCTGGAATCACATCCTGCTCTGTCGCGCAGTGACTAGCCAAGTGACTATGACCAAGCCGTTTCACTCTTGGGAGCCTGCACAATGAGGCCAACTACCCTATTTAAAATTACAACTCTGTCCTCTACCTCCAGTTCTCCTGATACTCCTAATCTTGTTCTAGTTTTAATTTTTTTTCCCATAGAACCTCTCACTTAGCATATTATATAATTTACTTGCTTTTTGTTATATTATTATTTAACTCCTCCCCCTAGAATGTAAGCTTCATGAGGTAATAGATCTTTGGTCACTGACATTCTCAAAAGCCTAGAACAGTGACTGACACATAGCAGGTGTTCAATAAATACTTATTAAATGGACGAATTAAGAGAAGGGAGTCACTCAGGAAATAAATAATAAACCTCTCTGGTCTTCTTGTTGCAAGTCTGTCCTAAAGGAAGGGTATCATGCTTGTCTCTATACAGTGACATAGCTATGAGTACATATATCCCCCACATCTCTGTGAACATAAGATAAAACTTAAATTATAGCACTCAGCCAAGAATTACGCACTTCTGTGAGTAGGGGACAAATAAAGAGCCTATGACCTTTATTATAACATAGCTCATAGCTATTGAGAAATAAAGTATGAAATCTGTTTTTATCTGGAAATTTCAACTCTAGCTAACTAAAGTATGCATACCCACTTTGTACCAGCAACTGAGAGAAGAAAACTAAGGGTACAACTGAAATTATTAAAATATTGGGAATGAGGGGTGCCTGGGTGGCTCAGTCGTTAAGTGTCTGCCTTCAGGTCAGGTCATAATCCCAGGGTCCTGCGATCGAGCCCTACATTGGGCTCCCTGCTCAGCGGGAAGCCTGCTTCTCCCTCTCCCACTCCTCCTGCTTGTGTTCCTGCTCTCGCATCTCTCTCTCTCTGTCAAATAAATAAATAAATAAATAAATAAAATCTTTAAAAAAAAATATTGGGAATGAGATTCTGGTCCATTTTACCCTGTCTCAGCTCTAGTTATGTACATGGAGACTGCAAGATGCCTCGTCTATATTGTTGGGGTGGTGGGAAGTTTTATTACAGAATAATGACCCCCAGTCTCCTCCCTCCCACTTCTTAAGGCTCCATCTCTCTAGAATTCTAAACTTATCTAGGCTTCCAGAGGCCAGAATTTTCTTTTTGTGAAACTCCAATCTCTTTGGCATCATCCTTTTTATTCACCATCCTAGAAGTGCTTGTTCTAACCTTTGGTCTTTGGAATTTGGATGTCAGAATTTAAGGAAGCATCCTTTCCAACTTGCTATAAGTTGTCTCTTGTATTTACTTGATTTTTAAATACTTTGGATGCACAAGCCATTGATGAATTCTATTTCTCTCCCACTACCCCTTCTCCCTCCCTCTCTATCCCCTCAGCTCTCTCTTTCTCCTCATTGATTAGAGGATATTTTACAACAGAAATCACATTTTAGTCAACATTTTCAGCAGTCAAGGTATAAGAGTACAGAGTCAAGAAATAGAGCCTTCTTAGAGCTAAGCAATTAGAAGAAGGCTGATGGTTCCACGATACTAGCAGCAAGAGCAGACCAGACAGAAGTTTCACAGACAGAATCTGAGAAAGGGGCAGATGAGAAGAGCCCTCCTAGGGCCAGAATAAGCCTCAAGGATTGTCATACCCTGCCCCTGCAAAGGAGACTGACTTTAATGGGATCAGATTGTGGAGCTATTTGTGAGCCCCAGGGCATTGTTAAGAACAATAGCCCAATCAGCTAGCAATTAGCGAAGGCTAACAGCTGGGTATGAGAGGCAGATGGGCCAAAGCTTAAAGGGGAAGTCAGGGAAAGAGACAAAGAGAGCCTACCTAAAACTACAATGACCCCCAGGAGTCAGGGAAGACACACTGAGAGGTCACAGACTTCACTGAACTAGTCAAGACAAGCCCTAAACAAATAAATGAGTGAAAACGCAAATAACAACAAGCCCCAGAGAAGCATGGGAGTAACAATCTAGAGTTACTACAATATGTTACTTAAAATGCCCAGTTTTCAACAAAAAAGTTACAAGACATGCAAAGAAAAAAATACACAGGGAAAAACAAGCAGGCAATAGAAATTGCCTTTGAGGGGATTAGATGTTGACTTAGCGGACAAAGATTTCAAAGCAACTATTATAAATATATTCAAAGACAGATAAATACATTCAAAGACAGACAGATATGGATATATATAGATACAGCACTCCACTCAACAGGAATGGAATACGTTTTCTTCTTAAGAGCACACGGAGCATTCTCCAAGATAGACCATACACTACCCATTAAAAAAAACCTCACTGGGCGCCTGGGTGGCTCAGTCGGTTGGGCGACTGCCTTCGGCTCAGGTCATGGTCCCAGGGTCCTGGGATCGAGTCCCGCATCGGGCTCCCTGCTCTGCAGGGAGCCTGCTTCTCCCTCTCCCACTCCCCCTGCTTGTGTTCCCTCTCTCGCTGTGTCTCTCTCTGTCAAATAAATAAATAAAATCTTTAAAAAAAAAAAAAACCTCACTATGTTTTCAAAGGATTTAAATCATATAAAGTATGTTCTCCAACCAAAACTGAATTCAAGTAGAAAGCAATAAGAGAAAGAAATATGAGAAATTCACAAATATGCAGAAATTAAATAACATGCTGCTAAATAATCTATGGGTTAAAGAAGAAATCACAAGGGAAATTAGAAAATACTTTGAGATGAATGAAAATGAAAGCACAACACCACAAAATTTACAGGATGGAGCTAAAGTAGTAGTTACAGGGAAATTTATAGCTTCATTACAAAAGGCAAGAGATCTTGAATCAATGACATTACCTTTCACCTTAGGAAACTAGAAAAAGAAGAGCAAACTAAATCTAAAGCAAGCAGAAAAAGGAAATAATAAAGATGAGAACAGAAATAAATGAAGGAAAGAATAGCAAATAATAAAGGAAGTCAATAAAACCAAATATTGGTTCTTTGAAAAGATCAATAAAATTAGCAAACCTTAGTGAGACTGACCAAGAAAAAAAAGAGACTCAACTTACTAAAATTAGGAATGAAAGAAGTGACAGCACTACTAACTTTATATATATATATTTAAATATATATATTACAGACAACTTTAGGCCAACAAATTAGATAAATTAGATGAAATGAACAAATTCCAAGGAAGAGAAACTGTCAGGACCACCAAGATAAAAACCACTCAAGAAGAAATACAAAATCTGAATAGAACTATAGCAAGAAAAAGATTGAATTAGTAATTTTTAAAATTCCTACAAAGAAAAGCCCAGGCTCAGATCATTTCATTGATGAATTCTACCAAACATATGAAGAAAAATTATTATCAGTCCTTCACAAACACCTCCAAAAACTGGAAGAGGAGCTAATGCTTCCCAACTCATCCTATGAGGCCAGTCTTATGCTAATACCAAAGATATCACAAGAAAAGTACAGAACAATACCCCTTATGAATATAGATGTAAAATCCTTAAAAAAATCAGCAGGGACGCCTGGGTGGCTCAGTCAGTTGGGCATCTGCCTTCGGCTCGGGTCATGATCCTGGAGTCCTGGGATCGAGTCCCAGGATGGAGTCCTGGGATTGAGTCCCGCATCGGGCTCCCTGCTCAGCGGGGAGCCTGCTTCTCCCTCTGCCTGCAGCTCCCCCTGCTTGCGCGCTCTCTCTCTCTCTCTCTCTCTGATAAATAAATAAAATGTTTAAAAAAAAAAAATCAGCAAACTGAAGCCAGCAACATATAAAATGGATTACACACCATGACTAAGTGGGATTTATACCAGGAATGTAAGGTTGGTTTAAATCAATCAATGTAATACACCATATTGATAGAATAAAGGGGAAACCCCACACAATCATCTTAATAGATACAAAAAAAGCATTTGACAAAATCCAGCACTGTTTCACGATAAAAACGTTCAACAAAGTAGGCACGGAAGGGACCCTCCTCATGATGAAGGGCAGCTAATATACAAACAAACAGCTAATACACTTAATGGTGAAAGACTGAATGCTTTCCCCTAATATCAGGAATAAGACAAGGATGTCTACTCTCACCACTTCTATTCAACGCTGTAGTAGAGGTTCTAGACAGGGTAATTAAGGAAGAAAAAGAAATAAAAGGCAGACAGCTTGGAAAGGAAGAAGCAAAATTATCTTTATTCACAGATAACATGCTCATGTATATAAAAGTCCCAAGGAATCCACTAAAAATCATTAGAATGAATAAACAGGCTTATCAAGGTTCACAACATGAGATCAGTATACATAAGTCAACTATATTTCTAAAGGTAATTTAAAAAACAATTCTATTTTACAATAGCATTGAAAGTACTTCGGAATATTTATTTTCAACTTGAGCATAACAAGCGCCTCAGTGTACATTATTACAAAACACTGTTGAAATTAAAGATCTAAATACATGGAAAGACATTCCATGTTCGTGGAATTGGAGATATAATATCGTTAAGATTGCAATAAGAACACAGATTCAAAGCAATCCCAGCTGTTTCTTGGTAGAAATTGACAAGCTGTCCCTAAAATTCATATGGAAATTCAAAGGACCCAGAACAGTCAAAACAATCTTGAAAAAGAACAACAAAACAACCCACATTTCCCACTTTCAAAACTTTCTACAAAGGTATAGTAATCAGGGCGCCTGGGTGGCTCAGTTGGTTAAGCGACTGCCTTCGGCTCAGGTCATGATCCTGGAGTCCCGGGATCGAGTCCCGCATCGGGCTCCCTGCTTGGCAGGGAGTCTGCTTCTCCCTCAGATCCTCCCCCCTCTCATGTGCTCTCTTTCTCATTCTCTCTCTCTCTCAAAAAAAGATATAGTAATCAAAACTGTGTAGTACTGACGTAAGGATTGACATATAGATCAGGGAGTAGAACTAAGAGTCTAGAAATAAGCCTTCATATTTATGGTCAGTTGATTTTTGATAAAAGCGCCAAGAAAATTCAATGAGAAAAGTCCTTTTAACAAGTGGTATTGGGATACCCGGATATCCACATGTAAAAGATTAAAGCTAGACCTCTACCTCCCACCTTACACAAAAATTAACTCAAAATGGTTACCCAAATGGAAGAGCTTAATCTATAAAATTCTTAGAAGAAACTACAGCAATAAATCCTCATGACTTTGGGTTAGACAATGGCGTCTTAGATACAACACCAAAACAGAAAAAAAACATAATATTAGATTTCATCAAAATTAAAAACTTTCGTGCTGCAAATAATACCATCAAGAGAGGGAAAAAATAGTCCACAGAATAGGAAAGAATACCTGCAAATAATATATCTGAGAAGGAATTTATATCCAGAATATATGGAGAACTCTTACAATGCAATAATAAAAAGATAACTCAGTTTTTAAAATGAGCAAAGGATCTGTATAGATATTTCTCCAAAGACATACAGATGGCCAATTAGCACATGAAAAGATGCTCAACATCATTAATCATTAGAGAAATGCCAAAACCACAACAAATCAAAACCATAATGAGATTCCACCTCACACCCACTAGGACAGCCATAATCAAAAGGAGAAGATGTGAAGAAATTGGAACCTTCATACATTGGTAATGGAAATGTAAAATGGTGCAGCCACTTGGGAGAACAGTTTGGAAGTTTCTCAAAACGTTCAACTTAGAATTATCTTATAACCGAGCAATTCCACTCCTAGGTATAAAGCAAAGAGAAATGAAAGCATACATCCACAGAAAAACTTGTATGTGAATGTTTATAGCAGCACTATTCATAATAGCCAAGAAGCAGAAACAACTCAAATGTCTACCCACTGATGAATGAATAAACAAAATGTAGTATATCCACACAACAGAATATTATTTAGCAATAAAAAGAAACAAAGTACTGATACATCCTACAACATGGGTGAACCTCAAAACATTGAGCTGAGTACAAGAAGCCAGACACAAAAGATCACATATTGTATGGCTCCATTTCTAGAACATGTCCAGAATAGGAGAATCTATAAAGACCAAAAGTAGATTAGTGGTTGCCTAAGGCTGGAGGAGGGGGTGGTTGGGGAGAGAATGGGCAGTGACTAGTAATAGGTATGGAGTTTCTTTTTCAGGCAATGAAAAAGTTCTAAAATTAGATTGTCATGACAGTTGCACAACACGGTGAATATACCCAAACCATTGAATTATATACTTTAAATGAAGGAGTGTATCGCAATGAAGCTATTAAAAGTATAGCGATGAGTTCAGAAGGAAGAATATGCTCTGCTTATAAAGGTAAGTCACTTGTTATGTATCTAAGGGATAACTTCATCTATGCCGCATCTTCACTGCCACGTTGGGGGACACTTTGATACCTACCTGTTCCCATTCATGCTTTGTTAACTGCTCAGAAAGGGATCCATTTGTTTTGAGTTCCCGAGATATAAGAGTTGCACCTACTTTATTTGTCTTCAAGTCAGTATCATGGTCTTCAACTAAGGGAATTGGTGGCATCAGCACAGATTTCATCTACAAAACAAAGTCACACTTTAGCCAAACCCTATGTTTCATGTGCCACATGCAGAAACTTCCGGGCCAGTTGCCACTCTGTCTCTATTGCTGTGCCTCAACCTGACGAAGAACACGTGTTTCTTTCTTTCTTTCTTTTTTTTTTTTTTTTTATTTATTTGACAGAGAGAGAGAGATAGCGAGAGCAGGAACGCAAGCAGGGGGAGCGGGAGAGGGAGAAGCAGGCTTCCCGCTGAGCAGGGAGCCCGATGTGGGACTTGATCCCGGGACCCTGGGATCATGACCTGAGCTGAAGGCAGACGCTTAACGACTGAGCCACCCAGGCGCCTGAACACGTGTTTCTTAAGGCCACTTAGGATCAGGATACTTTGCCCAGCTCCCTGCTAAAGTATCACACCATCATTTTCTCCTGGGAGCCCTGCTAGCCATCCTTTCTTACACCCCCTCCCAGGGAGTTTAAAGAATTCTAAACTAGAATCTCAGTTTATAGAATCTTCCTTCTCTGTCCCTCTGCATTGACACCCCCACCAACCCACCCACCTTACAAAATGCCTTTAATGAACCTAGAAGGAGGTTGTCATGAAGTTCCCCCAACCCAACTCCCCACCGCCATTAACAATTCTACCACAACAGCAGGCATAACCCAGGAAGCATGGTCATCCCTACACTTAGAGGGTCCTAAGGGATGGGGAAGTGGAGAAAGTGGGAAAGATGTAAAATTGGACTTGAAAATCTACTTTTGTATTTCATTTGGTAGAGTTCCAAAGGCTTAAACCTACTACTTTTGCTACAGTTCAATTGTATTTAATACAACAAGTATGTGCTGCCAATTCAACCTCACTCTAGGAGGGGTAGAAGACACAGAAAGTACACAAGTCAAATTTCTATCTTTAAAACCAGGCTTATGAGTAGGTGGAACGATGACCCCCAAAGGAGGTGAAATTTGGTTTCCTGGGAAAACTCCTGGCCCAAAAACTTCTCCCCAGGGGGTGTCTTGGCGACTAAAAATCAAACTTCGGTTCCAAGTATCAGGAAAGAGAGGAGAGAGTTGGAGGGAGAGAGCTTTGTGTTCAGAACTTACTCTATGCTGTTTTCTTCATCTAAGTAATTCTATTTAAGCCTCCTAACAACTCAATATAGTAGGTATTTTTTGCTTCCATACACAGGTGCAGAAACTGAGGCTTAGAAGGCTCAGGATGAGAAGAAGTTAGCAATAATACTATCTTTCATATGTACATAAAGGTATAAGGGCTCCAGAAACTCAAAGTGAATAGGGGTCACCTTTCTGTCTATATCAAATTAAATTCCAGTTCTAGACTCTACTTGCCTAGATTGGTTGGAAGTTGACTATCAGTCTTGAGGGGTAAGGGTTCAGGTTTCTCACTAGGACCATATACAATCATCTGGTTCCAGAGCTGCTATTGGTCCTCCTATGCCCCTGGTCTTGGGCCTTTGGCTGGGCTCTGGTACAGGACAAAGATAATTCCAGTCACTCTGCAAGGCCCAGCCAAAGGAGCCCTTCACTAAGTATGGGAGCTTTACAGGCCACACACAGACTCTTCCCTTAGAGGTTCTATACACGTTCTTGCTCTGCTTCTGTTGTACTTAATATGATTACTCAGTTTAAAATATTTCCCCCCAAAATACCCTGAGCCATTTGGAATATAAGAGAAGTCATAGCAACTCAGAAATAAACTGCTGTATGATTCCATCTATAATGAGGCACCCAAAGTTGTCAGATTCAGAGACAGAAAATAGCATGGTGGTCACCAGGTGCTAGGGAGAGGGGAGAAGGGAGAGTTGTTGCTCAATGGGTAGAGTTTCCGTTTGGGAAGATGAAAAGTTCTGGAGATGGATGGCGGGGACGGCTGCACTACAATGTGAATGTACTTAACACCACTGAACTGTACACTTAAAAATGGTTAATTAAAGTGGTCAATTTTATGTTATGTATATTTTACTACAACATTAATCTGAAATTTTAATTTTTAAAAATCAGGATTTTCACTTTTAGGAACTACATGAAATGCCAACATTTCCTCGTTTTCCACTTTCATCATGAAGGTAAAAAATATATATCTGCCTTATTTAGAAGTTACCCATTCATTTCTTTATCTTGCCATCATAGATTTTCTTAAAATTTATACTAATTTTTGCAGTTACGACAACTACTAAAACGCAAATGAATACAAAATAATAAATGAAAAGAGGTATATATATACCCCCTTACAAAACTCTGCGACATTTATGTAAACATTTCTTACTTTGTTTCTTTCTATACGGTGGAGCAAATTTAAGTCTGTGGACTCTGATATCCCACCATGTATGACCAGGATTTCATTGTCAATGATTGTACCAATTGGGAGCCAGGTATAGACGTCTTCTAAGATTTGTAAGATTTTCTTTCCATGCATCTGTAAGTAAGAATTTGAGTAAGTTTTGGTTTTTTGGTAAGTTCAAGTTTATCACAAAATGCAACAGCTTTCATGTGAGGCAAAGGAGCAAAGGAAGTCGGCATGGAGTCACTAACCCACCAGCATGCATTAATCATGTCTTTTTATTCTGTTTGTTTGTTTGTTTGTTCTATATTTTTGATACTTGGACATCTTGGTGCCTTGCTGACCCTGGAGGAGAGATTGCTCCTCCCAGAGCTAGCTAATGCCTAGAAATTGTCATGAGTTGCCCTTCATATGCAGATGAGAGTGCCTTTCATATGCAAACCAACCAATCCAGAGCCCACACCCAGACTCACTCAGGGAGTACAAATCTCTTCCTTTAAGATAGTCATTTCTGTATCTGCATGTTTTACCATAAAACAAATCCTGGGTACCTTTACAACAATAGAATATGTTTGTATCTGTGCTGAAACTAACACAAAGGTCACAATGAAACAGCTTGGTTTGGTCCAGGAAGAAAATTAGGCCTCGGGGCGCCTGGGTGGCTCAGTTGGTTAAGCGACTGCCTTCGGCTCAGGTCATGATCCTGGAGTCCCAGGATCGAGTCCTGCATCGGGCTCCCTGCTCGGCAGGGAGTCTGCTTCTCCCTCTGACCCTCCTCCCTCTCATGCTCTCTGTCTCTCATTCTCTCTCTCTCAAATAAATAAATAAAATCTTTAAAAAAAAAAAAAATTAGGCGTCTACCCTGGCCAGGGCTTCCTGCTGTGCTTTTATTTTTACCCATCACCCTTTCCAAAGGCTCTTTTTTTGTAGTTCTATGTATAAACAGCAAAGAGAATGCATTAAAAAAAAAAAAAAAAGTCCAAGTCTTACCTTATATTTATGCAAAATTTCTTTTGTGAAGCCATACCTGGAAAAAAAAAACAGTGGTATTTAAACTAATTAAACGTTGATAACGCCTACTTAACGTGAGTCACGCAAAAAGGGGACCCACTGACATCTCATTATCACAAGTGTCAAGAACTCAAGAAACTAGGGTTTAGTTGAAACTCTTACTTACCCAAGTTTTTGCTAGGCATGATGGGAAAGAACAAAAGCAGCCAATGACATCATCCCTACTCGGAAGGAGCTTATAGCATAGTTGGAGAAAGAAGATAAATTTTCATGAAACAATTACAAGGCAACTTAAGAAGTATGTGCTAGGTATAGGATGTGTAGATGCTGCAAGTAGTCAGCGAAATGTGCAGTGGCAGCTGGGGGAAGCTGTGCAGGAGAATGCCTTTCATTTAGAGAGTATTTCTCAGACATCCTAAACCTTATAGTAAATGAATGAAGGCACGGGAAGGGGGCTTGGTGGGGGAGACTGAACTGAGACAAAGAAAAGCCTAGATAGAAGACAACAAGTTGGCCCTTTATACTCTCTCTGATATAGTTCATGTAATGGTATTCAAGATTTTAATAGAAAGAGTCAGGAATTTTCATGCCTGAATAGCAATCATGAAGGGAGCTTTAATGATGGAAATTTTTTTTTTATTACTTTTCTTGCCTAAAGATAATAATATACGTTCTTAAGGCCCAACATAGGGAAGTCAGAACACAGCATATGCATTCCGGGTATCCATGCAAATCACGTCACGTCAGGCTTCTACAGTGTAATGTTATGTTTTCCGAGATGAATTCAGTCCTATACTCACCAAAGGTGTCTATGTTGTTAAATCCAAAGGACACCTTGCAGTCCTCATCTTTCTTGCCCTCCCTGAAGCACTAAATATGGTTGATTACATCATCCTTCTAGAAAACTTCTCTTCTCTTGGATTCTGTGACAATAAACCCTCTTGGTTTTCCTCGTACCTTTCTGGGTATTCTACAATTCCTTTGCAAGTTTTTCTCTGCCTAACCTTGAATGGTGGCTTTCCTTCAGATTCTGTCCTAGGCCCTCTTCTCCCCTTACTTTCTCTCTTGGTAATCTCATCCTTGCCTAGGGCTTTGGGTACTATGTGCCAATATTGCAGGACAATGCTTCAGGCCACACTGCATTCCGAGCTCTGGACACATATACTCAACTACCTAATCAAAAGCACTTCAAATCACCTTACCCCAAAATGAACTTACCATTTTCTCTCATCCCAACCTTTTCTTCTTATCATGTTCCCAATATCAGCGAACAATGCCAATGTACTCCCAAACTCAAGCCGGGAACCTAGAGGTTATCCTTGATTCTCTCCTCTTTCAAGTCCCCCATATCACATTACCAGGCTTTAAACCATCATTGCCTAAACTCCTCTTGAATCTATCTACTTCTTTGCATCTCCATCCCTACTACCTTGGCCTACGTGAGAATCCATCATCTGTCTCTTCAACTACCTCCTAGTTGGCCTTCCACATTCAAATATTTCTTCCTGCTGCATTTAAAACACAAATTTTATGATACTCTTCTATGATTATTTTTGTTGTCCTTAGAAAAAAGTCCAAATTCCTTTGCACGATCCAACCATGTCTTATGTCTCCAGCCCTATTAGGGACCATCCTGTCCCTCAGTCTGTGCTCCTACCCTCCTAAAGTTCTTTCATATAAAAAGTGTTGTCTCAAGCTCTGCCTAAGTTGTCCCCTCACTGTGGGATATCATTTCTCAGCCAATACCATGGCTGTTTCTGAATTGCCTAATTCATCCTCAGGTCTCGGGCTGATACTATACTTCTATGGGAGAACCTTCTATCACCCCCCCCAGACAAGTTAGGTCCCCACTTTATAAACTCATCATACTTGAAAAACCTGTTCAACCTAAGTCTTCCCTGCTAGATGTAAACTCTGTGAGGGCAGGGGCCATGTCTCTTTCATTAACAATCACAGACACTAGATAAACATGATTGGCTAACTGAATAAATGAAAGGATAAGTGGCATGCCCAAATAAAAGTACCGAGCTACATTACATATAAGGGAGCTCGGATAACAGTCTGGGATTTTTTTCATCATAGTCTTAGCATCTGCTTCCATACCTGAAAAATTAGAACTGAAAGTCAGTACTCAAGCCAGGGGGTGAAACTGCCCCAAACACAAAACTAATCAGTTGCTGAGCTTTGATCAAGGCACCCAAAAACCTAGAACCCAAAGCATGAGACACGTCATGCCTTCTACTGCCCTAGAGCAAACTGGTAAAGGAGGGGCGAAGGAAGAAGAAAGAAGGGAAAGGGGAACATTTATCCCCGACTGTGTCTTTCAGCAAAATTGGGTAAACCATTTAACCAATCTTTATTCCTCAAATCTCCAGTGAGTCAGATAGTTGAAATGCTACATTACAGCTGTTCTCAAATATGTTTATGAACAATTATGCCAGAAGCAATCACCATGTCATAAAAAAATATACACATCAGTGAAAAACACAGTACTAGTTTCTGAGACAACAACTGAGGCAAGCCAAAAGAGTAGCAACAGAATGATCTCATCTAAGCCCGCTCATAGAACCTACCACACCTCCAAAGCTTGCCTAACACATCCATCCAGGAAACAATTTAGCCTGTGATGGGAGGCATGGGAGGAAAAGAAAGAACATAATAGAAGGGAGAAGCAAGGACAGAACTGGAAGAAAGATAGGAAGAAGACTTGGGAGCAACGTATACTCACTCAGTAGAAGACTGAGGTGGTAAATAGAGGTAAGAATTGAGGCCTCCCTTGAGATTCCCCTCATCGCTACTTCTCTACACTCACCTCTAACTCTCTGCTAGGAACTAAACATGGCAGTATTTTTCAGTATGGGAGAAAAGAGGAAATCTAAAGGCCTAGGTTACCTCAGATTCATCATAAAATCTTCATGGTTCCCTCTGTTCAAGTGCAGGTCATTGGGGTAGACAAGAAAACTCACAAACAGGATCATTAGGATCTCTATGGAATGTTTTCCTCGATCTACAAAATCACCATTAAAAATATATGAGTTGCTCCCTGAGGGAAGACCATTCTGTGGAAAGAGGAGAGGGGGAAAAACAAGCAGTTAAAAGAATGTACTTTTAAAGTAAGGCTTTGTACTTAAATGTCCCTGTGAATATGGAGAAAAGAGGCTGAGTCAGTTCCTCCACTGGGAAAAATCTGCTCACTAACTTGAGGTAGTTTCACTCTTCCAGGGCAGGCATCACCTGCAAGGGACCTTGGAAGTGAAGCATTAGCTTTGGATAGGAAGATTCCAGGGGGATGGTGACTGCTCATTCTACCCACTAGCTACTATGAGTTTTCTCTAAAAGGAGCTGATTTTTGTCCTATCAAAAATGGCTAACCTTGGGCGCCTGCATTGCTCAGTCAGTGGGGAGTCTACTTCTCCCTCTGCGCCCCCCTCCAGTGCTCTCACGCATGCTCTCAATTTCTCTCTCAAAAATAAATAAATAAAATCTTAAAAATTTTTAAAAAATGGCTAAATTTATCTCTTTTTTCTCCCTTGAAAAGAGGGAAACTTCCACCCAAGGAAGAACACTGAACCAAGAGCCAAGTCTTTCATTCTAAGAGGCCCTATGTTTAGCTTCTTGGGGCTGTGAATCCCTCAATTTACAAAAGGGGAACAATACTATATCCACTCCCCTCCCCAGATCAAACAAGAGAATGGATATGAAAATACCCAGCAAAGTGTAAGGTACCATGCAACTGCGAGCAGGGCTGATTTATCACCAGTATACTCTGATACAATTGCACCAGGTGTGGATAGCTGGCAGATATTGTGACTGCTCACTGACCAGGCCATATTAGTTGTTAAATATTTTGATTATCACTCCTGAGTATGAGATAACACTTTTAAACACAGTGTTATTAGGAAAAAAACCGGGATCAGGACAAAGGTCTGGTCTTTATAACAGATATTGATTCATTTACTTCTGTACTACTAAACTATAAGACAAAACAAACATGCCAGACCCACCAGGCATATGATACCTGGTAGGGAAATGGTCATGTGCGTTCTATTGCATAGTAAAATAAATTCAAATGTTTAAAAAATACATCACAAAGAGAAAAATTTAAGTACTCATATGTCCAAATGTATGTCCCCCTTCAAAAAAGTTACCTTCAGGAAATAATCTACATATTCTAGTTACGTTAATCTTTTTCAAACTATTTTCAAATTCTTCTTTTTTTAGATTTCAAACTACAAAAGAAAATCTTATGACCTTATAGTCACTGTCCCAGTATTTATATACATTTAAAATTATTCATACCAATATAGTAGAAATGGTTGAAAAAATATATCATACAGGTCACAATATATAACTCAGGGATTCCCCAAATGATCATGTAATGTAACATGTTCTGAAGACAATTAGAAACAAACAAACAAGCAAGCAAGCAGTAGTATAGTGTCCTGGGCCAGAAATAAGAAGACTTATTTGCTAGTCCAGCTCCACTATTACCCATGTGTCCTTGGGTAAATTATTTAATCTTTATGAGCTATAGTTCCCTCATCTGTAAAACGGGGATGATAACTTCCATACTTACCATACAGGGCTACTCTGGAACTTGAATGAGACTGTGTGTATAAAATTGCATGAAAACCATAGAGAACCATACAAATGAGAAGATTCATTTTATTATGACCTCCATGTTATTTCTAATTTTAAGATCCCATTATTTTATATTTTCTTATACATTAATTCACATATCTTTATCACATTGGGCTTAAATAGTGTGAGCCAGTTGCAAAAACATAGGCTATTGCTTATCAAAACTTAAAGAATAAAAGGAAGGATTCTGCATCTCTGATACTCTTCCTTCCCTCAGCCTTCAGCTGGCTGGGATGAGTAAACCAGAGGAATCTGAGGGGTGCTAGAGGCTATTGGCTCTCTTGGGATTCTAGGGAGCTAGAGGAGCAGCAGTAGAGAGCCCTGGGGTGAGAACATGGAAGAACTAGGCCTGAGGGGACCTGTGCATCCCTTGATTAAGGGGAGACCCTGACTCAGAGCATTAGTATGGTCCTGGTTTGGGGGAGAGGGAGCTGGATCTTACTAGAAAAAGTGTAGGGAACTTCATCTCTATTTCTGAAGCTAAAAGAAAACTAACACTTGCATTTAGGGATACCTAGGAACATAGACACTTCCTTTCACACTCTTGATGCAGGAGTAGCAACTGTTGTGCATTCAACTATAGACAGGCTTAATTTAGCTTAAGCAGAGAATAGAAAATGAAAATAACCTAGCACTTAAGGGGATCCAGTAACCAGAGAGGGACAGACCAATCAGATCTGCTAAAGTTCTATCACCTAATGAGCTAGAATTGTTGGAGGACAGAGGAAAATGTTATTTTAAAAAATGAGAGGACAATAAATAAAGAACAAAAAGTTAATAATTCTTGCCATTTAAAGTGTGCTTTCCGAATTTAAAATATCAATAGATTAGAGCTAATTAAAAGAAACGGTGATTGGAAAATACATTATTGACCCGAAAAAGCAAACAGATGAAAAATCTCTCACACAGATTAAAAAGCAAAATGATGGAAATCATAAGGAATGAGTAAGAAATTAGAGTTCAAAGCCAAGAGAACTAATATGCCAATAATCATTCTAGAATGAGGAAAAAGGAACAGATGGAGAAGAGGCAATAATTACATAACGAAGAGAGGGAGATTTCTATGGTTAAAAAGGGACTTCAGCCTGAAGTCTGAAAGAGCTCCTGAATCCTATGCACAATTGATAGGGGAAAAAATATCCCTATTACCTGGTAAACGTCTTAGAAGCTACTAGACAGAAAGAATAAGTTACAAAGAGAAAAGAATCATCCTGGCATTAGACTTCTCATATGCAGTAGTGGGAAGCAGAAGATGGTATAATAAATCTACAAATTAAAGACAGAAAAGGACTGTGACCCAAGAATTCTATATTGGCCAAAACATCATTAACTTCTTAGGGTGATAGATAATATTTGCAGATGTGTAAAGGATCAAATATCAGCAACAACATAGATGATCATCAAAGTAGAAGACATATGTGAGTATGCAGTGATCTAATACCACAAAAGCAATGAACATGTATTGATTGCTTGTTATGTGCTAGACACAGTTTTAGGTGCTAGAAACACAGAGGTAAATAATACAAAGTCCTGCATTCAAGGAGCTTGCATTCAGAGAATATAGCACCCACATGCCCCATAGAGGAAAACATTCAAGAAAATATTCTAACGAAGTAACAGCCAGGGAAAGATCCAAGAGGAACAAATATATTATATAGAATATAGATGTGAACAATGAACAATGAGCCCTCCAGTATATAATTAAATATAAATATAAATCAATAGTGATAATGTGGAACTTGAATTTAAGTACTAAGCAAGGATTCTAGAAATAGAAGAGACATTCTACGAAGAAAAACCTAATAATGGTCAAGAACTAAAAATATGGCATGAGCAGTAACTTGAATTTGCAGGGGAGGTTAGGGGAGAAAAGCAAATTCTCCACAAATCTCATCCCAATAGGGGACACACATGGAAAGTGTGAAAATAAATACATTTATCTTACTGGAGGAGAGAGAAGATAATGGTGGAAGAATAAAGTTATAGATATCTGAGAAATATACACACACATTATTTATCAGAAATGTCAGGAATGGGAAGATAACCACTATTGAATAGAAAAGCACAGTAAAAACACCAAAGAAAACTTCACCAAAACAGCACAAAGAAAAGGGAGAAGATGAAACATAGTGAAATAAGTAGTAAGCAAAGTAAAATAGAAGAAAAATTTTCAAAAATATCTGTTGTTATACTAAATGTGAATGGGTTAAATTCTCCCATCAAAATACCAAGATTACTAGACTATATTAAAATACAAAACTCAGGTATATATAGTTTGTGAGAAACACACATTAAAAAAATAGGTAAAGAGAGGTTGAAAACAAGAGAAAAAGAGAAAACAAGAATGTAAATATTGATATGAGACAGTTTAAGAATTTAAGATTAAAAGTGCTAAACATGATCACAAAGCAACATTACATAATAAAAGACACTTATGAAGAGATACAATTCATGAACTTGTACTCAGTAAACAAAAGAATAAGTTTTTGCTTCATATATTTAACTACAATAAATGCAAGAAGAAACTGTTTAAAAATACAAACACAAATACAAAATTCAGATTGAATTATTGGCTTAAAATAATGTCTACAAATAATGTCTACAAATTCTTGACACTCCGTTTAAAAGGTGAAGCCTAATTTGCCTCTTCTTGTATGTGGGTTGGATTTAGTGATTTGCTTCTAGTAAATTGGAAAAAAAAAAAAAAAAGCAGGAGCGATAGTGTGCAACTTTGGAGACTAAGTCATAAAAGACACTACAGTTTCCTGCCTTCTCTCTCTTTTGCATCACTCACTCTGGGGAAAGCCAGCTGCTATATCATGAGAACACTCAGGTACCCTATGGAGAGGCCCCATGTAGCTGTTCTGCCAATAACCAGTGAGGAACCAAAATGCTGTGCCTGCAGCCCCGTGAGTTAGCAATCATGGAAATAGGTCCTTGAGTCCCAGTCAACCTTTCAGATGAATGCAGCCCTGGTCAATAGTTTGACTGCCACCTCATGAGAGACCATAAGCCAGAACCATTCAGCTAAGCTGCACTCAAATTTCTGACCCACAGAAACTGGGAGATACTAAATGTTTATAGTTTTAAGCCACTAAGTACTGGGGTAACTTGTTACACAGCAATATATAATATACATATTTAGACAGATATATTAGAAACTAAATATGTGGAAAATTAAATATTTAATCAATGAACTTAATTTAATAGGTAAATACAGGAAGAACTTTACATCCTATAGAGAGTATAATTAATTTTTTATATGTCCAAAGAGATTTTATAAGAACGAATCATGTACTTGATTTCAAAGAAATCCTGAATAAATTCAAAATAATAAACATTTCATAGGATATATTCTCATATCATAATCCAATAAAGTTTGAAATAAATAATAAAAATATGATTTAAAGAATTCTAG